ATCTGAGTGCCAACTTCTTGCAGTCAACAAGTTGAAGGAATTTAAACATTTCATTTCTTAACCCAAACACTCTGCTTTGACCAATAAGTCAACCTTCTGTATTAGGCTTTCTCCTAGGTATCATTCAACTCTCACTCCTTGCAGATACACACAAACCAATGCCACTATCAGCATCAGTCACTAAGAGTTTCCACCTGCAAAAACTTAGGTCACCCCTGAATGGATAAAAAAACCAGATCATTATATATGCTGCCTATATGTAATTCACTTCAGATCAAAAAACACACAAACAAAGTAAAGGGATGGAAAAAGATATTTCATGAAAATGGAAAGAGTATCAACAAAAAAGCTGGGACAGAAATACTTTTATCAGACAAAACAGACTTTGAAACAAAGGCTATTACAAGAGACAAAGAAGGATCTGGGAATTCCAATTCTGGTTGCTTATCTGAACAAAACTTTAATTTGGAAAGATATATGCACCTCTATGTTTACTGCAGAATTATTTACAACAACCATGATATGGAAGCAACCTAGGTAATTCAATAGATGAATGGATAAAGAAATAGATACACACACAGGAATATAATTCAACCATGAAAAAGATCGAAATCTTGCCATTTGCAACAACATGGACAGACCTACATGGTATTATGCTAAGTGAAGTAAGTCAGAGAAAGACAAATACCGTATTATCTCACTTATATGTGGAATCTAAAAAACTAAACAAATGAACAAAGGACTCACAGATACAGAAAAACTGATCAAGTTGCCAGGGAGGTGGCAGCATGGGCAAAGAGGTACAAACTTGTAAGTAAGTCACAGGGAAGTAAAGTACAGCAGAGAGAATACAGTTAATAATATCACAGTAACTTTATAAGGTGACAGATGGTAACTGGACTTTTCATGGTGATCATTTTGTAAGGTATATAATTGTCAAATCACTATATTGTACGTGTATACCAACTAATATATTATAATGTTTAGAGTTTTACATTTAAAAAAAAAAGAGGACTTCTGGCCGAGATGAAGGCGTAGGTAGATACGCTTTGCCTCCTCGCACAACCAAAAGAAAGACAACAACAAATTTAAAAACAAAAAATAACCAGAACTCCCAGAAAATCGGAATGTATGGAAGTCCGACAACCAAGAAGGTAAAGAAGAAACATTCATCCAGATTGGTGGGAGGGGCAGAGAAAGGTAGTAGGGACAGAGAGGATTGGCAGCAAGGCGGAGGCTGGAGGACCTGCACAGCAGTGGCTGGCGGGCCGGTGGTCCCCTATTTCTGTGAGGATAAACCAGGAGGAGCAGATGGGGAGTGAGACAGACTGTCCAATTCAAGGTTCCAATGCAGGAAAAGAAAGCCTCAAAACTTCTGACAGTAAAAACCTGTGGTGGTTGCGACGGCAGGAGAAACTCCCAGACTCAGGAAAGTCCACTGGAGAGACCCACGGGATCCCAGAACGTACACAAACCCATCCGCCTGGGAATCAGCACTAGAAGGGCCCAATTTGCTTGTGGGTAACGGGGGAAGCGACTAAAAGCCGACATCACAATGCAGCCATCTGGGCTGCTCCACCCTGGTAAATACCTAAGGCTCTTCCAACATAACAGGTGTGCTGAGACAAAGAAATGTTGCCCAATTGAAAGAACACATCAAAGCTCCAAAAATAGAACTAAGGGATGAACACACAGCTAACCTATCAGATGCACAGTTCAAAACACAGGTAATCTGGATGCTCACTGAATTGGTTGAGTATGGTCATAAAATGGAGGAAGAAGTAAAGGCTATGCAAAGTGAAAGAAAAACATACAGGGAACCAACAGTAAAGGGAAGGAAACCAGGACTCAAATCAATGACTGGAAGCAGAAGAAAGAGATGAACATTCAACCAGAACAGAATGAAGAAACGAGAATTCAAAAAAATGAGGAGAGGATTAGGAACCCCTGGGACAACTTTAAACGTTCCAACATCCAAATCAAAGGGGTGCCAGAAGGAGAACGGGAAGGACAAGAAATTGAAAACTTATTTGAAAATATAATGAAGGAGAACTTCCCCAATCTGGCCAAGGAAATAGACTTCCAGCAGATCTAGGAAGCTCAGAGAGCCCCAAAGAAACTGGACCCAAGGAAGCACACATTAAGGTACATCATAATTACATTACCCAAAATTAAAGATAAGGAGAGAATCTTAAAAGTAGCAAGAGAAAAGGAGCCGGGTTACCTACAAAGGAGTTCCCAAAAGACTAATTTCTCAAAAGAAACCTTGTAGGCAAGAAGGGGCTGGCAAGAAGTATGCAAAGTCATGAAACACAAGGACCTACACCCAAGAGTACTATCATTTAGAAAGGAAGGGCAGATAAAGTGCTTCCCAGATAAGGTAAAGTTCATCATCACCAAGCCCTTGTTAAATGAAATGTTAAAGGGATTTAACTAAGGAAAAGAATAAGCTAAACAACTATGAACAGTAAACTGACAACAAACTCACAACAACCAAAAACTGAACCTTAAAAAAAAAAAAAAAAAAAAAAAAAGGAAAACTAAGCAAACAACTAGAACAGGAACAGAATCACAGAAATGGAGATCAGAAGGGAGGGAGAGGGGGAAGACTGGGGGGAAAGGTGCAGAGAATAAGCAGCAGGTACAAAATAGGCAGGGGGAGGTTAAAAATAGTGTAGGAAATGGAGAAGCCAAAGAACTTACATGTAGGATCCATGGATATGAACTAAGGGGGCGGGGAAGGGGGGAATGTGGAGGGGAGGGGCAGTGCAGGGTGGGAGGGAATAAAGGCAAGGAAAAAAAAGGGACAACTGTATAGCATAATCAATAAAATATATATTAAAAAATAAAATATAATAAATAATAAAGGAGGTCACCCAAGTCTTCGGGACCCTACTCAAAAGGCTGAACTTTGAGTAAAATAGTCTAGCTTAAAAAATAAAAAGAGGGCAGTGTGGGAAGGACAAAAAATTGTTCTATAAAATTCTGTCCTAGTCAACCAATAGTCAATATCTAAAGTCATAAACATAGATGATTGTTCGGCTACAAGGTACAATGTGCAGACAGAAAACTGCCTTCCTACTACAGGTTATAAATGAAATGTCACATCTTAACAATCTTTTCACAATAGCATTCTGGAAACCTCTACAACTCAAAAGCAGCATAACATAACCTTTACATAAAATGCAATTGCTTAAAAAAAAAAACAAACCCTGCAATCTGAGAACCTGGTTACAGTATTTTAAGTTTCTGGGTTAACTATCCTCATTTTAGAAATAAAAAAATGGAATCTCAAGCAAACAGTTTACCTAAATTTTTTTTATCATCATCAGCAAATATATAGTAACAGAAAAAAGTAAAAACTCAGTTCTCGAACTTATTTTGTTCCAGAAGGCTGTTTGAGAAGTGATTTGTTGGAAAACTCAATCTCCTTATTACCCGAGAGAGACGCTGTGATAGATCACACAGGTATCAGTATGAAAGGGTTGTCCATTCCAGAACCATGTTTTGTTTGACAACCCAGACATTTTTTTCATGAACAGCTTAGTCAAGAACTGATTTGTTCGAAATGGGAGACATTTGAGAACTGAGGTATGACTGTAATGAGTACTTACTCCAAGCACTAAGCTGTTTATATTCATATCTCATTTCATCTTTATAGACACCTTGTGAGGTAAATGCTATTATCTCAATTTTAGAGATGAGTAAACAGTCTTAGAAATCAAGTAATTTGCCAAAAGTCATAAACTGTACGTCACAGCACCAGGATTTGAACTCAAATTTGTTCAATTTTGTACATCCAACTAACTCACTGCACTGTCAACCTCTCTGTTTTCAACCAATGATTTCAGAATAAATACAAGTTAAGATTACCTAACTAATACTGTGTAGTGTCTGTGTTGCGGGGAGGAAAGTGTCTAAATTCTGGTGGACCTTAAAATCTTGATGAAATTCAAAACTGACTCCACAGGTGATAGGCAGTGCCCTGACAGCACCTCTTCACCAGGAACAGGGCCTAAGAACATTTGTACGGCCCATGTTCTTCTCTAACGACACTTTCCCCCGTTCATTAACTCAAGTTACCTTCATAAAGATCATGACCACACTCAAGTTCCTAAAGACGTGGATGTGACTTTAACCCTGACTTGACTCAGAAGGATGAGCTTATATTTGAAACATGCTTTCTCACATGTATCGCTCACGCCGAAGCCCACAACCCTGCAAGGCAGACAGGCCAAAGGCCATTTTGCCCATTTTTCATATAGGGTAGCCGACGCTGCGGTAAAGGAAGTACGAAAGACCTGAGGTCCAGCAAGTGGAAGACCTGAGACATTTCGCCCCAAGACATCAGACTCCAAATCCTGGAGTCTTCCCTTATTCTACTCTGAGAGGCGGCTTTACTGATAAGGACACTTTAATAATCGGACGACGGGTTTCCCGAGGACTTCCGAAGAAAACCAGGAAGTATATTCTCCCGCATGGACTGCTCACTCCCAGCCCATTGCCCGCAGGCTCCCGGGCAGCAGAGCGGACTCACTCCAAAGACTCGCGGCCCGGAAATCGCCCGCAGGCCCGGGGTCGTCTCGAGGCAGCCTCTGCGGCTCACGGCCCCGTACCCCTGAGTCGCCACGGACCCGCTCAGTACCTGTTGAAACCCAAGGAAGGAATGTCCCTCCCCAGAGAGTATTTTGGGCGAGGGCGCTTAGTAGGCACGATGCCCCGGGCAGAGCAAACAGGCCCCTATGGGACACCACCCGCGCCCCTCCTCAGCGCAAACCCCTCAGGGCTGGAAGGACAGGAGCTTCCCAGTAACCTCCGCCCCAGGCGGGGGCCCGCCCCGCGCGTCACGTGAGGAAAAAAAAATACCGGTAACAAACAAACAAACAAAAAGAGAACTCCTGTCTCAGGTGTGAGCGGAGAAGTGAACTCCACGAGCACGACCTTGGGGCGCGGAAACGGTAAACAGGGACGGAGGGACAAGAACGCAGCTTGCTAGTTACCGGGGGCGCCGCCACTCTCCGCTTCCGCCGCCTGCTCGAAGATCTTGCTATTTACTCTTCCGCTCGCGCCGACCCGGCGCACTACAGGCCTCCACTCCGCCCCCCGCCAGCGCCGAGGGGCCTTCTGGGAGCTGTAGTCCTGGGCCGCGCTGGCTGCCTCCTGGTCACGTGGGGGGAGGAGCGAGCAAAACGAAGTAGTAGGGAAGGTGTTTACGCTCCTGGGCCTGCCAGACCCTTCCTCCCTTCACCTCAACTGCAAAGGTACTCAGATCCTTCACATCCCACCCAATCATACCATCCCTCTTCTTCACAGCCAAGTTTCTTGAAAAAGGTAGTCCAAACTCGCTATCTCCACTTTCCTCCTTCCTGCTCTGCGCTGCAGTTTCTGCCGCCACAGAAAATGCCCTTGTTGCCAGATTCGTGGGAGGTAGTTTCACGTCTTCTAACTTAAGCGTTAATCGCCATTTGACGCTGTTGGACATTCTCTGTCACTCCTTTCCTGTCTCTGGTTGGGTTTTCCTTCTTCCTCTCTGTCTCCAAGAATTCTTTTTCTAACCCACCCCTTATACAGGGTCTGGCACAAATAGCGCCCCCTTTTTATTACAAAATCTTTTATTACAAAATCATTATCAGGTAACTGTAACATAACAATATTACACTCATGCATGCCATATGATATTTTAGGTGAAATGTACAAATTAAAACAATAAAGTATTACATCCATATTACCAGCCACGCTCAAGCAGGCATTACTTCTGCCAGACCCTGTGTATTGCAGTGGGCGGGGGGGGGGGGCTCCTGCCCCTCTTCTCCTGAGTTCATTGTTTGTATTTCCAACTTCATAGACGGACCCTTCCTCATCCATGGGCCACAGGCATTTCAAATGTAGCAAGTTCACATTTTCACTACAACCTTCAACCTAGATTCTTCCCCCTCTCTCACTTTCTCTACTACCCATGCCTAAAGAGTCACCAAATCTTGTAGAATTTATCTCCCAAGTATTCCTTGAACCTCTTCCTTCTTCACACCCACTGCCAGTGATTTAACTCAGACCTGCATTGTTTCTCACTTGATTACTACATGGTCTCCCTCACTGGTCTCGGCACCTCTATGGAATCCCCCGTACTACCATCATGCCCCTTTATGCAAAGGAAAAATTTAATCAAGTCACCCTTTGGGTAAAGTCTCTTATTTGATTAAATTTAGAAAGAGGAATAGAGGTGAATCCTTTGGGGTGGCTTTTGTAACATACGGAAGCCAGCCCTACTACTCCCACTGCCCTCCCGCCTCCCTTATTGTGGTTGGAAGGTTCAGAGAAAGGAGATTTATAGCACACCTTATTGTGAGGTTGGTAGGCATGGCATTTCTTTAAAAAATTCCCCAGGTGATTCAATTTTTCAACAAGGATGTATTTTGCTGCCTACTATATAGGTACCAGGCATGTTCTGGGTACTGAGAAAGTAATAGCAAACAAGGCAATCCTTGCCCTGGTGGAGTTTACAGTCTCTTGGAATTGACAGATATTAATCAAATGACTCTATACCAAAAACAAAACCAATAATAACAAAAAAACCCCTACAATTACCAGCTGTGATAAGAATTATACAGGAAAAGTAATCAGTCTCTTTCCCTTTCCCACTGCCACCTGCCCCAGCCCAGGAATAGGTTTGTGCTCCTCAGCCTATCAAATGCAGCCTGTCAGGAGCTAATCTTCCACTTCCTCCCTTACACATCTAGATTTACCAAACTGCTGTATTGCACTTGCTCTATCACTTTTGCACAAGCTGTCCCTCTGTTTGGAAAACCCTTCCCTTTCTCCCTTGACTGACTTTACCCTATGTTACTCTTCTCTGTTGAATTCAAAGCAAACCCAGTAGAACATAGAACTCAGAAAGATTTTCTGAGGATTGGACTGAGTCAAGTGATAATTCCCAGCCCAGCAAAGGTGAACTGAGTAGATGAGCTAAGAAGAGTTGAATGTGGGCCACTAAGCAGGGCTGTGTTAGCCAGTTTGGAGATATAGGGTCTGAGCATATCCATCATCCAAAACAGATCAAGTATTACCTCCTCCAGAAGGACTTTGCTGAGCCCCCCAGGATGAACTATTGCCTCTTTCCTGGGTACTCATTGCACACATGTTGACCTTTCTACTGATATGCCAGAGCCAGCTCATACCAGCTTTAAAAAGGAAATTTAAACTCCCAGGAATTTTGCAAGTCAGTTCTTAAACCATTGGTAGCTTGAAATCAGCTGTAATGGGAGTATTTATACCACATGGAAATCAGCAAATGAGAAATTAGGACTTTTTTTTTTATAGTCAATTTATCAGAGCACCACTGCCTTTGTCATAACACCCATCTCTTGTGGTTATGAATCTCCTATTAGACGAATTCCTTATAATCACTTCATTTAGCAAATATTTATTGATATTTATTACTATGCGCCAGAGACTAGCAAGATGCTTAAGGGATATATAGTGGAGTACAAAGAAGCATGCTCCTTACTGTTACAGAGCTTACAATCTAGCAGATAAGACAGGAAATAAAAAAGAACTCCATACTTACAAACTGAGCCAGGCTGCTTTGTGATGATAGACCATCCTGGCAATGAGTGGTGATAGGCACTACTTTAAGAGAAGGTCTCTCTGAGGTGATGACCTTTCCACTGAGCACCAAAGGATTAGAAAAAGATAGTCAAGAGGAGAACCAGGGAAAGAGTGTTCCAGCCAAAGGGATCTGACTATACAAAGGAATAGCTAGGTTGTTTGAAGGACAGAATGGCCACTTTTGCTGGGATGGTGTGATCATTAATTTTACGCATCAATTTAACTGGGCCACAGGGTGCCCAGATTAAACATTATTTCAGGTGTGTCTGAGGATGTTTCCAATTGGGAACAGCATTTGAATTGGTAGAAGCAGTAATGTACAGTTGACTCTTGAACACAAGGGTTAGGGACACCAATCCATGCAATGGAAAATCTATGTATAGCTTTTGACTCCCCCAGAAGTTAACTGTAGGCATCTTCCTCAGAATCCCCACGGGATTAATTACAGGACCTTCCACAGATGCCAAAATCTATGGATGCTTAAATCCCTTATATAAAATGGCATAGAATAATGCATACAATCAGCTCCCCGTCCCACAGATTCCCAATCACAGATCAAAAATATTGTTTCTGATCCATGGGGGTTAGTTGAGTCTGCAGACACAAAATCTGGAAATAAGGAAGGAGGCTGACTCTCTCTATATATATTTTTTTAAATCTGTGTATCAGTGGACCCGTTCAGTTTAAGCCCTTGTTGTTCAAGGGTCAACTGTAGATTGCTCTCCTCTCTGATGTGGGTGGTCAGCATTCAATCCACTGAGGGCCTGAATAGAATAAAAATCAGGAAAAGGGAAGATTCAGTCCCTTCTTTCTTGTCTACATGAGCTAGGACATTTGTCTGTTGGTCTTCTTCTGGCCTTGGACTGGGATTTACCCCATTGGCTCCCTTGGTTCTCAGGGCTTTGAACTCAGACTGGAATTACACCACCAGCTTTCCTGGGCCTTCAGCTTGCAGACAGTAGATTGAACTCCTGAAACTCCATAATTGCATATATATATACATATACATGTATGTAAAAATAATATGGCTTACTCAGGTAAACATATAAGGTCTGTCTGAAAAAAGTCCAACCATTGTTAATATAATGAGAATGGTTTGTGTGACTTCAGTGTAACCTGGCAGCAAAGGAGAGTGGACTGGAATGCACATGCATGAACAACAACTTCACTGTACTAGTCAGTGCGGGCAGTAGACACCACTGAGAGAGCATGTTTACTGTGTGCCCATTGCATTCAAAATGACTGAGTGAGTAGAACAACGAATCTGCATCAGATTTTGCATTAAGCTTGAACATTCCTCCACAGAAACTATTTGGGAGGATTCAGAAGGCTGCAGCTATGGGCAGCTAGTGATTGGCAGCTTCATTACGACAACACATCCACTCATGCAACACATCTTGTGCAGAGTTTTTTATGAACCATCAAGTCACCCAGGTGACTCAGACCCTCAACAGCCCAGATTTGGTACCCTGAGACTTCTGGATTTTCTCAAAACTAGTCATCTTTGAAAGGGAAGAGATTTCAGACCATTGATGATATTCAGGAAATACAACAGGGCAGCTGATGGTGATTGGAAGAACTGTGTGAGGGCCCGAAATGCCTACTTTGAAGGGGACTGAAGCATCATTGTACTATGTACAATGTTTCTTGTATCTTGTATCGTCTTCAATAAATGTCTCTTTTTCATAGTATGTGGCTGGATACTTTCTGGACAGACCTATACATACATACATACATACATACATATAGGAGAGCTATATATCCTGTTGGTTCTGTTTCTCTGGAGAATCCTAATACAGATGGCAAGAGTGTGAATTAAGTGATGCAGATGACATGAGGTAATTAGGGCCAGGTGTGCACAGCCTTAAGGCCACAGTGAGAATCCTGGATTAAACTAGAGCAATGAAGGGGGTGGTGTTATCTGCTCCACATTTAAATACAGTCACTCTTGCTTTTTTTTGGAGGACCAAAGTAGAAGTGGGAGCCCATTTATTGCAGCAGTCTAGGTAAGAAATAACGACACAAAGTGCTGTTGCTAAAACAAAGTCGATGGATTTGACAAATATTTTGCAGAGCCAACAGGACTTGTTGATGATTGAATGTAGGGGAGAATGGGCTGGCTGGGAAAGGAAAGAGGACCCAAGGGCAGAAATTGTTTATATTCATCTCCATATCTTCAGCCTGTAGAATAAAGCCTGACGCATAGCAGGTGTTCAATAACTGTGTTGAGAAAATGTATCCATTCAATGTGCTAAACTCTGTGCCCTATCATTGTCACCTTGCTTCATTCATACAGGGCCTCCTCCAGCCCATATAGTACCTTCACGCAAATTAGAAAAAAGTGCCCCTTTCTCCAGGTGGGCATGGCCCATCACCAAGGTGCACAGATCAATGAGCGAGCATTTTGCCCCCACTTATTCCTTCAGTGGCATCCTTATGCAGTGCACAATCTGCACAACCACATATGGCAGCCCTGGCTTAAAATCCCTGGGAGATAGTTTTGTGACATT